TTTAAAACATTTATTTAAATACCAGAATCAATCAATCAGAAAGTGTATATAATTAGAATCCAAAAGGACAACCAGAACTTTCTGTGCTCATTCGAAAACGAAAATTACCTCGAGTTGACAAAAAATATAGGAAGGCAGCGAGTGCGATGGTAGATCTAAAAACCTAGAATTACAACGACGACGTTTTGAAGCTTCCAAGATATGATGTATGTTCAACCCCGCACAGACTGATGCCTGAAATATGATTCATAGAAGAAGAAAATTCAAAGAACGAATGGAAATAATTCAAAAGGTAATTTTCACAAAACGTCCCTCCCTTCTAATGTTGTGCAAAACGTCCCTATCTTTTATTTTTGACATTTTCACCCCTAACTTCCACCTTTCAGTGCACAAGGGTCCTTTTCATCCATTTTTAAATAAAACAAAAACAAAAGAAAAGAAAAAATAATGAACTAATTGCAACCAAAGTATCAAAATTTCAAAAAATTACAAATGAGTTAAAAATATATTCTTAAAAATCAAAACTAAAAATAAAAACATTTATTTTTACTATGAGTTTAATCCACCGCCTAAATTATTGAGAGTTTTACCCACCATCCACTGTCGCCTAAATCGCCGAAAAATGATGCTATCACCGTAACAAATAAGTGCTAAATAAGAATTCATTAATTGAATGGCTACATGTTGGACGAGATCATCCCATACCAAAAATCGACCACAATAGTTCCAAAATCAGATGAAATTCAAGTTGAAAAACATGCCTTCACGCAAGACTTTAGCACCAATTCAAGCCAACCCTCCAACACCCCCATGGCCAAGCTCCATTAAAAGCTTCTAATACTCCTCCAGGCGGCACTTTCATGATCCCATATCATCAAGAATCAGTTTAAATCAAATTCAATCTCATTCCAATTTGAAGGCAGCAAACCACACAATTTTCATCCCAAATTTCAACGTCGACGTTGAGAACCACAGTCGAGGACGACCATCATTTTCTTCTACGCATCATGGTGAACAAAATGCATAGATGGGTCTTCATCAATTTGTCTCGAATCAACCAATTAGTGAAGATGCACCTTCTAACCATGAATGGCTTTTGACTCCATTTTAATTGAACACTTAAACATGCTCCAATTTGATTGGAAACGATGCGAATTCCACGAAACTTCATTAAAACTTTATCAAAATTTCATTGCTCCCCAATTTGGTGGGTTAAGAATAAAGGTTTTTTTTTTTTTTGGTTTATTGTTTATTTATTTATTTTGAGTTTTGATTTTTAAAATATATTTTTAACTCATTTGTAATTTTTTTTAAAATTTGGGATTTTGGTTGCAATTAGTTCATTATTTTTTTTCATTTCATTTCTTTTTGTTTTATTTAAATAGAATGGTAAAATCTTCAAAAACGAATGTAAATGGCCTTTTGCACAATGAAATGTGAAAAGTAGAAATGAAAATACCAAAAAAATGAAAAATATTAACATTTTGTGCCATTTACCCATAATTCAAATATAGACATACACGATCTAGACAAAGATTTCTCCAATGACATTTATATCCTTGCATGTTGTTAGCAAAATGTCACATTTGCCCTTATTGTTTGAAAGAAATTACAAAAGGCACACAAACTAGTCAAACAAACATTTTGACCGGATGACAAACCTAATCCTCCATGAGAATAACAATGCTACAGAGACAAGCTCAAAGACAGGGTATACACGTGTCGAAATATGATTTGATATTTGGAAAAAAAAAAGAAAAAGGTCAACTACTTTCTGACAAAACAATCCGCCTCTAAATTCCTGTTTTTTAGCATATCTCACTGTCTTTATTCCCATGAGAATTGGGGAATTTTGGTTATTTAAGGGAAGAGTCCTTTTATATTTATCACGTTTGACTTTTTATTGAAGTTGAAAATTGAATTTAGACTCGTAAGTACAATCAAGAAAGTCTCTTTTGAAAGAGCTTTGAAATCCTTAATATTCGAGAGAACTCCTTTTAAATGGTGGGTAATGGTTGAAATGTCAACTTTAGACAACTATTTGACCGACCAAACGACAAATTTAGTCCTCCAGGTCATGTTTGGTTAAGATCTTTGTCCACCGACTACATTCTCCCTATTCCACCCTATGCCTCTTCTCCCCTATCATTTTTAGAGTTAATTGTTCCAATTGTCACTAAACTTATATCAATATCTTTGATCACTCACTAAAATTTAAAATGTCGAGTTTGGACCATTAAACTTTAGAAACTGTTGTACATTACTTACTGACATAATTTGTCTCGAACTTCTAACGGAATGCACATGCGGTGCTCCGTTACACCGTCAAACTTTGAGATAGTTGAATTTTGATCACTAAATTTTGAAAAATATCTTCTATTGCACATTAAACTTTGAGATGATCGAATATTGGCCACTGAACTTTGATATAGTCGTACTTTAATCACTAAACTTTAAAAACGTCTTTGGTTGCTCACTATAAATTTGGATTTAATTAAGCCTATGTTTATCTCCATTTAATACAAAATTATTTAATTTTCATACTCTTTCTAACCACATATTTATGCAATAAAATATTTTACACCTAAACTCAAGTATTTTTTTCAACTTTTTAACTACACGTTCTCTAAACAAATCATTGTTTAAACTCTCTTTTTTACAAAAATAAAAAAATAATAATAGCCATCAAAGAGGGGCTAAAATTCGAATTTAACTTAATTTAATAATAAATATATTATGTGTTTTATTGCAATTTATAATCACTTCATTTGCACAGATTTGCAAGCATTGTCTATACCATAAGGAATGATTACTCAATCACACAGTAGTTAAATTTAATTTAAATTTTTTTTTTTGTAGAATTTTAAACTATCATCATCATAATATTTGAATTTTACAATGAAATACACAATGAATTTGTTGTTAAATAAAATTAAATCGAAGTCTTAACAATGAATTTTAACTGAATCCAAATTTATTATGCACAATAGAAAATGCTTTGCAAAGTTGTGCAAAAGAAGTGGCTATTAATTGCAATTAAACACACAATATACTTATTGTTAAAAGTAAATTAAATTCGAATTTTAACCCCTATTTGGTGACCATTATTA